TTCCATGTGGGCTTTGTTGCTTCTGAGCTAGATGGCCGCTTGTTTACCTTCAAGCTTTTAAGACCCCAGACACTATATCCTTTGATAGCCGAGCACCATCAGCTTTCTTCACCCCTTTTGTTTATTCATCCGCTTTGTCTTTAGTGGTTGTGTTGTTAAGGTGCGCATCATAGAATGCCAATTTAATAGAACAAAGTATTCTTGCATTGAGGGAGTACTTGAGTGGAGGCCCAATGTCTTTCTGCTACCTTAATACTAACCCTATAAATATATGCACATAGATCTATTTCCCCATCCTCATATATTTTCATATTTACCAGAATGAGGTTCTTAACCTGTATCTTAAGCTGAGTTTTCTAGAAACAAAACCATCAAAGCTTACACATATATCAGATGCAGACCACACCCTGAGGAAACGCCCTTCCAACTGATTGGCTGCTCATAGGTGATCTCATTATGGAAGTGATTATATTAGATCTCATTGTGGAGGATAACACTATTGAAACTGCCAAACCAGAGAATTATGGCCCAGTCCAGTTGATGCGCCTTATGCATCACAGAGACATGGTGAGCATTAAATGATACAAGTGAAATGCTTTTATTAGCAGTGCATATAGACACAGAGTTACTATTCTTCTTCTGGCATATGTTCCTAGTGATTCCCTCAGTTGTTTAAAGTTCTTAAGGACAAAAAAAATCCTTCCCAATCTGTCACTAGGTTCCAGAACTGTACCTGGGAATAACAATTAACTGCCTGAATAGCATATATACAAGGGGGCTGTCTTTAAAAAGTTCATGGAAAATTTATATTCTGGAGATTATTCATAGAATTCATAAAATAATGCAAAAAAATTGGTACCAAAATGAACTGATACTACCTTGTTACAATATGCATATGAACAAGATCTGGTTTCAGGTACTAAGAAAAAAAGCCCCACCAACATTTTTTTAAAAGCCCCAATCAGAGAACCATGAATTCCGCTTAGATTGAAGGAACAAATATAAAATTTGGTGAACTCATGGATACTATAAAAGTCTATGAAGGAAAATACCCCAAGGCAATCATCAGTTTACAAATGGGGAACCCGATTTAAGAAGGCACTAGCTGATGTTGAGGATGAAGTCCACAGCAGTGGGCGTTACTCTGTGATGAACCCAGTTTGTTCATGCTCCAGTTGAAGAGGAGCAATGTTTAGCAGCAGAAGCAACAGCCAATACGACAGATGTCTTCGTTCAGATTACACAACTCCAGCTAAAACATGAAAGGTAAGCAAACTTTCTGCTTGGCATGTAGGTACCAATGTTGTTGCATCCAGGTCAGGGGCAGACAATAGAATTTTGCATGGAAGATTTTGACGAGTTGGGGATCAAGATCCTGAAGCATTTCTTGGAAGAACTGTTAACAGGAGATGAAACATGCCTTTACCAGGATAATCCTGAAGACAAGAACCAACAAAACCATGGCTGTCAAGAGGTGGAAGTGACATAGGCAAAGAAAAAGTGGGCTGGTCAAGAAGAAAGGTCGTGGTAATACCTTTTTAATGCTCAAGGCATTTTGCTTGTTGACTTTCCGGTGAGCAAAGAACCTTCATATCTACTTTGTACGAGTGTTCTGAATGTTTTTGCATGTAAGAGAGATCCCAAATCTCGAATATAATTTAAGGAGGGTATTTATTCAGTCCTAAACAGGAAAAGACAAGACAAAGACACACACAGAAGTGATATGATTTCTTAAATCCAATGTTTGGGAGAAAAAGACTTTTTTAAAAGCAAAGTTATCTCTGGACTGCCGTACATTTTTGGGAGAAGTATCAGCATGTGTACACTACCCACATTTCCTGATCAATGACATTTCTGGCAGTGTAGTTGTAGCAAATGATTTTGTCTGGACTAAAGTAGCATTCTGTTTCTGAACCTCTTTGAAATGGTGGTTAAACAAGTAGTGGGAGCCTCAATGAACTTTGAGAAAGTACAGATGTAGGCAATCATGAGAAACTATTGCTATTTAATACATTTATACCACATTAAAAGTTCTGATGTCTTGGCTTGTCTAAGGTCAACATGCCAGAATAGTCCAAAAATCCATTGCAGTCAATTGATCTGAGCTGGTGGTTCTTTTTGACATTAGAATTGTTTGATTTTAGAAGTGTAATTAAAAAGAATGCCAAAGAAAATGATTTTTGTGTCTAAAACAATGAGGTTTGATAAATAGGGTGAAAATACAAAAGGGAAAGACAACGTTTTCAGGAGAGGATGGACATGGCTTATGCCTAAAGACTCAAAAATTCCAATTCTGTGTTAATGGCCCCACTTGAAATTTCCAACAGGAAGCACAAATGGGGCTCAACAACCACTAACACAACTCTACAAAGGGCAATCTTGCTCTGGTGGGCTCCACTCTGCAGAATGATGTTTTATTTAATAGCATGGACATCATCATATCCATCATCAGTGCCTTGGAAACAAAACAAAACAAACAAAACAAAAACTTTTAAAAGTTAGCAGCAGTTTCTGCAAGTACAAAAATACACATTTATTACATAACATATGGTAGTAAAATTTGTCAAGATATATTATACAAACTCAAAGCATTTTAGATAAAGCATCAGTCTAATATATTATAGGTTGACAGAGTATAATAAAATGACATGTAGTTTGTCTTCAAATTGTACAATATAATACTTTACAGCAATATTAACAAACTATTCACATTTAAGTAATACAGGAGTATCTAAAGGGATCCAGGGAGGAGGAATGGTTATTGAAGAACCTCAGCACGTATCTTGTTCTATGCTTCAAATTGGGTGGTGGTTTTCTACCCACTAATATGAAAATAAAAAGACTAGAACTATTAATTTGATAAGTAGAAAAGTCATTTCTTCCAGAAAGACACTCCAAAGCCTTGGGAGCTTCCTTCACATCGTGCAGTTCTGACAGTAGTATGCCCCAAGGGGAAGGGAGCAGTGCCTGCGGACGCTATACATTAAACCACAAAAATGCACACGGACACATAGAGGTCTTTCTGTGGGGGTGTCCAGCTATTGGGTGAAATCAACTTCACATCTGCGACTGAGATGGCCAGTGTCGTGAAGGTGCTCTTTGGACAGAGTTCTAAAAGTTCATTCTAGTGCTTAGGGCAAAGAGGGTCATGTCCCCGAGAGGTAGGTAGCACCTATAACTAATACTGAAAAACGTCTTCATCTTAGAGGAAACATTATTATTTATGTAAAGGAAAAACAAAACCCAAAACAAACCCCTCAACCTTCAGGGCAAGAGGGAATGAACATCTGAAATGACAGATTCCTAGGGAGTGATAAGGAAAGTTAGTTTGGAATAAGCTACTTCGTGGGTAACACATTCATGTGATGCTAAGAGTCTGGTGGTCGACCAGAGACCAAGTGAATGGGCTCTGAGCCACTCTGTATGGGCAAATCATTAGAAAGAAGATGCAAATCCAGTCCTGGTGCAATCCCTTTAGCATGCTCTGATCCCCAGTAAGGAGATGTCCCAGTGGAGCCTTACAGGGAGAGGAAGTGTCCATGGTTATGAAATCACACAAGGGGGCCCAAACCATCCATAAACCATGAATTATTTGGAGCAAAAGGATGGAAACCCTTTTGTGAGTGAAAAGGCCCAAAGCCAACGACTGTCAAAGAACTGGCAGCCACTTTGGTGTGTGTTCTATTGTGACTGTGTATCACCTGCCGATCTCTACATGGGCTTTCTCAGCGGCCCAAGCCCAGCAGTGAGGAATGCTGGTCACATTTTTCCCCCGCAGCTGACTCTCCTCTAAGGGGCAGAGCGGGAGGGAAGCAGTTCAGCCGGAAGGCGGATCAAATGTTGGTACCGGCAGGCGCGTAACTGTCAGGAGGTCTCCTTGTAAATGGAAAAAGGTGTCCTGGATGTTCCCAGCAAAAGGCACCTTTGGAAAGGGCCAGTTCCTGGAGCCTTTGCAGAGCATTACAACACACCAGTGGAAAAGCAAATCAGCAACAACAAAACCCCAAGATGGTATTATAGGGCCAATGGTCCTTGAACCATTCTACTCCTTTCTAGCTTCACTGCATCACGTGACAGCTCCTGGAAGGGTGCTATGAGGACATGCTACTGAGATGCCCGGAACTACGCTCTCTGGAGATAGATCTACAGAGAGGGAAATGTTTCACATGATTCCCTTCATCACTAGACAAAAGCTTCTCATTGCTTTGATTCATGGTATTTTTCTAGGCTATTTCTTAAAAAGACTTCATGGATTGTGGATAATTTTTTACACCCTTTCCCTCTCTTCCCTGTCCCTCATCTTTAATTCCATGATATCCCGGTCTTCTCAAGTAACTTAATTTCACAGAAATGTTCACGTGAGACCCAGTTCGACAGAAAGATTGCTTTCTCTAGCCCTCCTCCGTAAAATCTCTAGAGTTGGACCACAGGGCTAAGCCTAGGCTCAGTGAAGAGAAGCCGCCCAAATACTAGGCTGACCAAATCATTGAGAATGAGCTTTCTGCCAAGTAATCGCATGTCAGGAGAATCTTCCTGTTCTAAATATTAGCCACGATGGTCCGCATGCTACCTCTCCCAGGTGTCTTATACAGAGGGGTCATAATAATTATTGTCTCTGTGTTACAAGGAAGCCCAGCTCCTCCTCCTGGAGAGATCGGATTCTCCCCTTGGCTAAATGTCTTTGGTGAAATGCCGGTCCGCATCATCACTCCCTACTACTGCAGGCCCAGGGTCTGGCCTGCACCCATCGCCCACAGTCAGAGAGCTGGGTGAGGAGGGCCTTTCACAGGGTAGAGCACCAGGGGAGCACTGACCACCAACCTCAGCTTCCTTGTGGGACTTCTTACAGAACGCGAGCCTGTCTTCTGTGGGGCTGAAGGGAGTGCTACAGTGTCTGTCTGAGTCCTGGCAGGGGTACGGACTTAACCACGGGGTGGTTTGCCCAACTCCGAGTCCTTTGGTGGCCCTCAGGGGCACATCAGTCTGTCTCTCTTGCAACTCAGAAGCATAGGGGGAGGTGGGCTCTGCAGGCCCTTTCCGAGAGCTGGCTTTCTTTTCCTCTGGCTGAGATGCCTTGGCCTTCTTCTTGAGGGTCCAGTTCTTCAGACTGGCCACGCCGTTCCTCAGCCACGTGCTGGGGTGCAGAGTGACAGAATGCATTTGTGAATGCCACTCGGGAGTGCCCTTCTTTGGGTAAGCCAGGCGGCCGCTGGCCTGAGCACCGGAGCAGCTAGGTGTGCTCACGGAGACAAGGCTGGAGCTGCTGCAGTCCGAGGAGAGCTCTCCCTGTTTCCTCTGCGCCTGGAAAGTGCAGTCGACGGGAGAGGAGGTTTCAGTGGGTGTAAACACAGAGTGCTCAGAAATCTGGGAGAAAGCACTGTCCTGGGAGCTCACAGAGGAGCCCGACGGGGACGTGCCTGGGGAGGACAAGCTGGAATAACTAGTCCTGGGGCACAGGTTCAGTCCTGGGGGCAAGACCTTCTCAGTGCTCTGGTGGGAGGCGCTACTCTTGCCTACCTCGATGCCCATGACCAAACTCTGGTTCATGAGTTTTTGCCCTTCCATTTGCAAAGACTTGTGCCGCTTGAGATAGTCCTCCTGCCCCTGCAGGGGGCCGGCGTCGCAGCCGGCTTTATGCTGTTTCTTTGAGTGCCCCCCCCTGAGATAGGTCAGCATGCAGTGCTGATCCTCCATGTTGGGCTCGGAGCAGCGCCGGGGCATCCTGGAGCTCTGGAGGGCCGCTGCCGTGTGTGGTGGGGAGCACCCGGGGGCAGCTGCGTTCCCGGGCGGGTGCCTGCGGTGATCCTGTACTGCAGGGCGGCTGTTCGAGGCCACGGAGATGGCCACTGGCTTGGATTTAGGGAACGGTCTCCCAAGATGTCCTTCATGACCGGACGGGCCTTTCTTCTTGACATTTTGGTGAGTTGCGTTTTTCTTGCTGCCATCGGTGCCTGCAGCCACACTTGGCTTGAAAGCTGTCGCCTTGTCCTCTCCCTGGAGGGGCTGGGTCGGCTTCAGGTAGTCCTCCTCCTTTTGGGAGAGAATGGCATCGCAGCTGGACTTGCGCAGCTTTTTCTGATAAAACTCCCTGAGATAGGAAAGCTTTGAGTCCAGGTAGTCGATGCTGGGCTCCGAGCAGCGCCGATGTCGCCGCAAGCTCTTGGGCGCGTCTGCAGCAGCTGGGGGCAGGTAGGAGGGCGAGCAACCGCCTGAGGGGGCCCTGGTGCGGGCCCGCAGAGGGACGTCGGGGTACACCACGGAAAAGCTCACTGGCTTGGCCTCGAGGGGCCGCTTCATTGGAGCGCATTCATCTTTAGAAGGGTCTAAGTCTACGTCGCTCAGCGTTAAAAGGCCTTCCACCTCCGGCTGCTCCAGGTCGTAGTCGCTGAGGGTGAGGACGGAGTCCATGCTTCGGCTGCCCTGGCCCAGCTTCTTTACCAAGTCACTGCAGGGAGCATCCACGTCTTCGTTGAGCTCATTTTCCAGGCTGTCATAGGAGGAGTCATTTAGCGGGAAGCAGGAAATATCTGTCAAAAAAAAAAAAAAGTCAAACCATGGTTCATATTTTCTCGTTACTACGTATAATAGCGGTGCTGCCTGAACATAATTACTTATTTAAAAAAAACCAACCCAACACCCAAATCCATGATGCGCCAATTGAATACCCTTTTGTGTAAATCGCTGCTTGAATTCTCAAGAAAGAAAACATCTTTCACAATCTTCCCAAATGTTAGCGCCGAAGTAAACAAACAAACAAAAAGTTGGGAGTTTAATAGATGTATCTCATACACCTGTGTAACTGATACATACATCTATCTCATACTTCAGATGTAACCGATAAAATAGCCTTTCTTTAGTAAGATTTCTTGAAAGCAATGAGGACATGTCACAATTCCCAGAGATGGTAAAAATAGGAAGGTATTAACATCAGGTAGGAACAATAGTTTTATGGATTGAATTGTGTGTTGTATGGTAAATCCTTGTCTCTATGCCGATATACATAGAATCCTATTTGGGAAAGGAATGTCCTTGCTATAGTAAATGAGGCAGGACTGGTGCAGGGAGTCAATCTCTTTTCAGATGTAAGAAATCAAATAAGCAAGGGAAAGTAGCAGAGACCTGGCTGAAGAACAGAAGCTCAGACAAGCTCATCCTGCAGAGTCAGCAGGGATAACAGCCTACCCCTAGGGATGGTGCCTTGAATTTGGACTTCCAGCCTTCTATGAGTTGGCACTGATTCGATGGCAGGGAGGGTTTTCTTACTTTAAATGTAGGCGAAGAGATCCCTTTGTGACAACCATTTCCGTGTGTGCGGTTTCTGTTACGGCACTTGTACTAAGTAAAACATAATTGGGCGCTTATAGTGGGGTGCGGCTCTAACAACCCTCTGCGATGTGGCAGCGGTTTGGGAGTTGGGTTATGGGTGGTGAGAGAGAAGCTGGAAGAGTCTTAAAGGCCCTAAGATGACAGCCTAGGTTGCCTTGGTAGAACAGCCCCTGAGCCCTCACCAGAAAGGCTACTGACGTCCATCACAGGGGGTGGGGTGGGGGGTGGGGAGTGACGAGAGGAATACAGAGTCTCCATCGTCTAATGAGAGAATACCAGGGTGCTTCAACAAAGGTCATGGGGAACTCGATTCTCTTTAACTCCCGTTTTTTCGTCACGACCTTTTTGGAGCCCTGTCACGCAGACAGCACCAGCCGAAGACAGCTGCTAGAACTGAGGGATGCATATGCTTTTGGTGAAACTTTACAAGAAAAGTGGAAGAAGGGTGGCTCATTTCATCCAAATGCAAAGCCCTCGTCTGAATCACGCTCAACTGTTATGTATGTGGAAGGGAGACAGGTCTGGGTACGGAGCGCTGAAAACAACATCGTGGCCAAGTGGTCTCTCCTCGCTGTTTGCAACAACAGGAGAGGAAAGGGGCAGAGTCAACAGTGAACTATGCAAAATGGAAACAAAATTTAAAAGATTTGGAAAACTGTTGTTTAGCAGAAACTAAGCACACGGGTCCTACACTTTTCCCCAGGAATGTGAGCGCACAAACGCTCGTTAAAGAAATGAATCCTGTACCTGCCGATCGAATGAACTACCAAAGTGGAACACCTGTCACTTCAGGGTGACGCGGGCAGAGAAAGAATGGAAGCAGAGGGTGCTACCTGCCTCTTGACATTCCACAGTCAGGCGGGGGTGGGGGTGGGATGGGGGTTGAGGGGCGTGTGTCAAAGGAGTGAGGCCTATTGTGCGCCGTGTGCAAGAGAACAGGACCAATCCTGGGGGAGCTCAGAGAGCAGAACTGCTGGAAGAAGCGTGGCGTGTGCGAGGTGCTCTCTGCTCCCAAGGGTGGGGCCCCTTCTCCCAGGATTCAAAGAGTTGGAGCTTCCCAAACTTGGTTCTGGAATGTGGAGCAGCCACTCAGGTGTATCAGAGAGATGGGGCTGCTGGCCCAGGACAGGGGCTCCCTTCCCTTCCACTGCTGTGGACTACTCCAGGGGAGCCCCGGGCTCAGCATCTGCCAACACCCCCACCCCGCCCGCCCGCATGGACACGTGGCTGCCTTCCCCTAAGAACCCGTCATATGATTCGCATACCTGAGGGATTCTCTCTGCTATCACATTGCACTGAAATCTCTCCCAAGAGGGACACAATTTCTTCTCCAAATATCCTACAGCAGTTTTCAATCAGAAACTGCATGAGCAGGGAAACCTATACAAAAAAACCCAAAAAAAACCAGGACAACAATCACATGCTGCTTTTTCTTATCACGTGCTTAAAAGTCCTATTTCACACACGAATCCCGAGTCTAATAAAAAATCTGTCTGAGAATTCTGAGAAATTTTGGAAGGGCAGTTTCCTCTAAAAAAAAAAAAAAGACTGATACTCTCACGGTGAGCAGGTTAAGTACAAAAAATCACAATTAATACAGTGAATTCAAGTTATTATTTGTTTAATGCCAGCATTTTTATTCTAATGGCTCTCTCTTTTAAAATGAGGGCAATTTCAAATACTCTTCCTTGGGTGTGTGGGGTGTAGAAGATACTATTTACTACAATGCCGTCAATTAGATCAAAGCAGAACATTTATGATGGAAAGCAGGTGATCATAAAGGTGGGAAGCATGTGTTCTCCGTGGCCTTGCTGGGAAGGAACAGTGCAGCTGGGGAGCACACGTGCCGTATGCAAGTCAGCAGTGCCTTCCCCCAGGCTCTGAACTGGAAGTGGTTTGGGAACAGTTTAAGATGTTACTGGGCTGCCCCACTGAGCTGTCCTGGAAACCACTCAATCGTTTCTCTGTCCCAGTGGCAGACAAAGGCACATAGGTAGCAGAACAATTCTCTGACAGTCTCATCCCGGGCAGGGTGAGTAGAATATTAGAAGCAAAGGGAATTCACCTATCTGCACACTTCTCAAATGCCAGGTACTACAGGGTTGTGATCTCAAGTAACTACTGTGTGAAGCAGGTATTAACTAACATCACTTCTCAGTTTTCAGATGAGGAAATTGTACTTGTCGGTGCCATTAACTTTATTCCCAATTGTACACCAGACATGTGACATGGTTGAGAGTTGAAAATGATCATATTCCAAAAGATTTTGCCTTAAAAAAAAATCTAAATCTTAAACATTGCAACTGCTTTCCTATCATCCCGTGGCTTTAAGCATGTTTGTAATGTTCAATGGGAATAGGGAAGTGCCCGGCTGTTCTAACAGTCCCACTTTCCATGTTCCCGCTGCCCTCCAGGATAGGCCCGAACACTCCAGAGTCAGTCGATTCAAATGCACATCGAGGTGTCCTTCAGGCATCGAAGAAAACATCTTTTAGAATTAACACCCTGGCTCCCAGCGGCCAAAGGGAGACTTTCAGTTGCCCAGGGGCACAGACGTGGAAAAACTCCCTTACCTTTTTTGTAAATTCATTTTCTAGTTCTGGGCTGGAGGAAGCAGGAGGCCAAAGAATGCTTGGAGCGATACACACAGCTAAGTTAAACGCAGTCATCTGATTGGACGAAGAATGTTGCTCAATGTTGTGCAATACGCCAAAAAGATACCTTAGAAGAACAACATTGGCTCTTGGAAGCTGATCTAATAGCCTAAAGACAAAGGGGGATGGATAAACAGGGCACCATTTAAGTAAGACACTTCACTTACAAACTTGGAAATAAAAAGCTGGCCTGAGCAAGAATATTGTTCAGATATTAAAGCAAAAAGATGCCGCCTGGAATATTTCTCTGAACCTAATGTGTATTAACTTAAGCATATCCTATCACGTACATTTCAGAATGTACTCACCTGAAATCCCCAAAATTTTAATGATGAAATTAAACAGCAACTGAATTTTACAGTGCTCCCTTACTTCCCAGTTGTACCCGGGAATGGCGTTCCCTGACGAGAACCCAAACCTTAGCTACTCCGACTCCAGGTCTGACCGGTGAGCTTGCTCTCTGCCTCCCCGGCTGCCCACGCCAATTCTGTCTCATGTGTCTTAGATCACTGGCACCTCTTTCACACGAGTCTGCACTGCAATCGTATAATTTCTACGATTCTCATTTTGTAAAAAATATGGGATTTTCCCATTGCAGTTCAAGGACGTGGATTTTTCTACCATCCAGAAAACATATGTAAATAAAAATGTATGATAAAAATCATAGCTTTATTAAAGAATACCAAAAGGTGAAGCAACTGTTACTCAGTATATCCTCCAACTGGATCTCCAGACTGGTGAAGGTCATACTTCCATCTTCTAACCCTTTGTCAAAGAATTCTGCACCCATCCATTTGCCCCAGGTCAAAACAGCAGTTTCGGTATGCTGGAGGAGTTCAAACTAGGCTTCCTTTAAATGTTCTTTGAGTTTTGGGGAAGGAAAATAAGTCAGGAGGTTTGTAGGGTAAATGGGGTGACGTTTCCCACAGAAATTCTCCCAGGTCAGGCCATGCTACCCTGAATATAGTTTTCTTAAAGTTTCTTTAAAATAAGTCCTTGTGCCTTTCTATACAATCAAACAAGATTCGTCCTTTGGCACCCCCCCAGATCAGTTGCCATCACCTTCTGAGCTTATCTCTGCCTTGAATTTAACTAGTCCAACAGATGCCCAAAGAAGTCACTGTTTTGATCAGACCCTGCTCCCTGGATTGTGTTGGTAAATCCAAGACTTGTCTTTGTTTATGACTCATTCTATCATATCATGTTCATGAGCTTTGTTCTACCTTAAAAGACTGATGGAATGATCGATAAACCGATCTAGCTGACCTTAAAGCAATGTGCACACTCAGAGGTCAAGAAGTTCGCTTAAAAGTGCGAAGTCAGAAGAGAACTCAACCTCAGGAGTTGTCACATCAGTGGTACTTCTGCATTCTCCCTTCATCGGCTTCTAGAATTCAGGAACAGTTTCCTCATTCCTCAAGGGAGACAGCCTTCCTTGACTCTGCTCATCCTGGAGGTCTTCCCAACCTTTCTTAGAGCCCTTGATGCAGCGAACAACGTGCTTTCTTTGGGCAGCCCTCCTTCTCAGACAGATTTGTTCATCCTTTTGAGTCCAGGATGCTTTCAATCTTCTTCACCAGCATCAAAACTCAAATGCCCCAGTTCTTCTTCACTCTTAGTTATTTAATGTCTACCTTCCAGGTGCAGATACAGTGACTGAAAATACCAAGGCTTGGGTCGGGCACACCTGAGTTCTCTTAAGTAACTTCCTTGCTTTTCAACATTTTAAGGCGGTCTTGTGCAGATTGACCCAATGCCATGCGTTATTTGATTTCTTGACTGCTGCTTCCAAGGGGACTGATAGTGGCGCCAAGCAAGACAAAATCCCTGATAACTCCAATCTTTTAGCCATGTATCATCATGTCACCATGATGATACCCATCATGGTCACAGTCCAGTTACCATGGTCCAGGTGTGAGGATTTTGGTTTTCTGCCCAGTGAGTTGTGATCCCTATTGATGGCTGCAATCCCAGCATGTGCTTCAAGTCGACTCACTTTCAGCAGCAAAGTTGTGTTAGCTGCATATCGCCTTCCTCCAATCAGGATGCCGCGTTTTCCGTCACATAGTCCAGCTTCTCACACAGACTGAATATAGTGAAAGGCTACAACCCTGACACGCACCTCTCTTGATTTTAAGCCATGCAGCATTCCCTTGTTCTGTTTGCACAACAGCCTCTGGATCCATGTACAACGAAGTGTTCTTGAATTCTCATTCTTCTCCAAGGCTTTCCATAGTTTATTACGGTCCATAAACATCAATCAGGTAGTCTTTGCTTTTGTCCAAGATCATCTGTGGTTCTGATGATTAATGCATGACTGCAGCTATTTCTTCTCGCTTTCAGGTGTGCTCCAACAGTCTAAGATGGTCCGACCTATGTCGTTTAAGGATGATTTTACCTTGAGGAGGCACCGCTTCCCCCAGGCCTGTTTTGAGTGCCTCCGAATTTGCGGGGAGATGTTCCACTACTATTCTTATGGCTCTCTATGGCTGGTCTTTCAGAAGGGGAGCACATCCTACTCTGTCTAGTCTGGAAGCTCCACTGAAACAGGTTTCCATTAGTGATACTGTTGGTATTTGAAATACTGGTGGCCCAGCTTCCAGCATGTGAACCACCACAGTGTGACAAATTGACAGATCAGTTGGGGAATACTTGTCTATGGACTTGAAAAGTGCCTTCTGATGGAGGAACTATCAATTGATCTACCCCCCCTGTAGAAAAAAGAGGAGCCCTGGTGGGGTAGTGGTTACGAGCTAGGTGGCCATCTGCAAGGTGGGCAGTTCAATACCACCAGCCACTCCCTGCAAAAATGATGGGACTTGTTCCTCTCATAAACAATTACAGTCTTGGAAACCCATAGGACAGTTCCACCCATGCTATGAGTTAGTCCTGAGAGCTATGAGTCAGTTTGAACTTGACCACAGTGAGGTTTTTGGGTTTTTTTCTTCTTCTGTAGAAAAGTTAGGGCCACATCTATTTAAATTCACTTAACCTTTTCTTATTAGACTACATAAGGTGTGGTACTTTGAAATCTCCTTTGACCTGGCTGTAGCACTTTATGGGTCCCAATGATGACTTAATTAAAAATTTTGACACGTGTTCATTTTCCTTTTGGCTGGAAGTTATAATTTTACTGTCAAAGTATCTTCTCCGTTAATAGTTTGTAGGATGTAATGTTTTGCACTTGGGGTTATAGACTGTGATGCTCACGAACGGATTGGTTCCTGGCAAACTATGGAAGAGGAGGGAATATTGGGCTACATGGTCTTGCCTTCTGGTGTCTTTCAAAATTGCACTGTATTCTTTGGCTGTGAGCAATGCGTCAGTTGTCGTGTCTCGATGATAGTTCATATTTGAAAGTTGATAAGAAAAACCTTCTCAGCAAGCCCACACAAGTAAATGCTATTAAGATGATGTTATTCTTCAGTTCTCACTGACCTAGAAGTACTGCTTGGGAGTTTGTGTGAAAGTTTTCTTCTTTCCTCTTTTCTTATAATGTTTGGGAAAGGAGGGCCAGCAATTAGTGCTTGCATCCCTTTTAATGAGATTGGGTTTAGCAGCTATGGTAGTTATATAATCACCGGTCAACTTGAAGGTAAAAGAGTGAAGTGGTAGAGTTTAGACTGTTAATCAGGTACATCCTGATACCTCCTGGTGGGCATGGCCTGCTCGAAAGGAGAATTATGGGAACTTTCCTCGCTCTCTGCCTTCACTTTCCTGTTGACAAGCCACGTGCGTGGAGACTTGCTGAGACCCCCAAGAGACTCTCTCTCACTGCTTCACTTTCCTGTTTGCGAGCCATGCGGCTGAGATCTTCCAGCGCCCTGGACATGCATCCATAGCCATTGGATCCACAAGACTGCACCCACCAGCCTGGGACCTTCCTACATTTTTCATCATTGCATGTGGCTGGGTAAGTCCGAAGAGGGACTTATGGACTAGTATCAGATTTGTGGACTTGATCTGGACTGGGCTGGGATGTTTGCTTGATATATAATTACTTGTCAATATAAAACTCTTTCTTATACATCTACGAGTGCCACTGGATTTACTTCTCAACTTGACCCAACACAGCAGGGCTCCCCAACCCCACCCCCTGCAGTGCGTGCACTGGACCCTCCCCATCTCTTCTACACTGATTATCTGTATGGCAACTATAACCCTCAGTGCATTGCCTTAGCTACAAAGCTTTCATCTCTGTAGAAATTCCATTGCTGGATGCCATATATAAGGAGTTGTCTGACCAGTTAAATATTTATTAACTTTAAGATCATAAAATGGTGGAGTGGGCTCACCAACATTAACCACTGGACTAAGATATTTCAGGTCCCACTAGTCTCAGATACTCAGAAGGTGAACAATGGTCAAATAATTCTATATTAATAAGATTCGAGGAATCCAGTGAGACTTGCAATGACAGAAGCTACATCAACCGCTTTTTAAACTGCACCCCCCACCCTGAGACCTGACTTTAGCAGTTGTCATTGCTTTACTAGAGCATTCTACGGAAAGTAAGCTTTAAAAAGAACTATTCGTCTACGTATAGCTTCCTCCCTGGGGGATGGACAGCAGAGAAGAGGGCGCAGGGAGATGTCGGACAGTATAACTTATGACAAAACAATAATAATTTATGAATTATGAAGGGTTCTTGAGGGAAGGGGGAGGGGGGAGGGAGGGGGAAAATGAGCAGCTGATACTAAGGGCTAAAGTAGAAGGTAAATGTTTTGAGAATGATGAGGGCAACAAATGTACATATGTGCTTGGCACAATGGATGGATGGATGGATTGTGATAAGAATTGTATGAGCCCCCAATAAAATAATTTTAAAAAAAAGAACTATTCTTGAGACAGGACAAAATTAGAGTAATTACCTTTGAATTGTATTTATTTTCTCTTCATCATTGCCTTGATCCATTACACAGACCCAATGATCATAGAGATCTGATGAAAAAATGCTTCCTGGAATATTTCGTAGAAAATCCTTACATGAAAGGAAAAACAAATAATTTATGCCATTATTTTCATGCCAAATATCTACTGGAGAAATTGAAGAGTAGGCATTTTGTTCCAAAGTTCCGTTAAGACCACCTTTACCTGAACTCCAAGCCAAATGTGGCGCACACAGGGGCATACAGAGGTGCTTGAATTTCTTCCTAGCCCAAACAAAAGGGGCAACCTGAGTCCTGACTGTGGTGGGCAAGAAAAAGGGCAATCTGTTTGAGCAGAACCCCCCTCCTCATTTACATTTTAACAAACCAGTACAATATGACAGGGTCTGGCCACCAACCAGCCCAAGTCCTTCCCGTCCCCTTGTACAACCACCCACTTAATTCCTAGGGAGCGAAACTCTAAGATAGAAAGCAAACCACTACAACCCCTCTTCACACAAGACAAACCTAGGTCCTGTGTCTTAGGGTGTGAATGAATACCTTAGGAGGAAACAACCCCGATGACAGCTTCACTGTTCTTTTCTGCAAATAGTGTGCAAACACTAGGCAAACAAACAAACAAACAAACAAACAAACAAACAATAGACCGACTCAAACCCACGACCATCAATCTGGTTCCAGCTTACAAAGACCCTGTAGGACAGGGCAGAATTGCCCCCATGGATTTCTGAGAAGGTACCGCTATATGGGAGTAGAAAGCTTCCTCTTTCTCCCTTTGAGTTTCAAACCGTTGACCTTTCAGTTAGCAGCCCAACAGGTTACCACTATACCACTAGGTGTTGGAAATATACTAAAATTCCCAAGGAGTTATTAGAGGTTTTCCCCTATAATTGGAATATATATACATCCTTCAAAAAAGAGTTTAGATATATTAACCATTTCAAACCCTTGAGTTCTGAGGTAACAAAAGAATGAATGCAAATGGTTATGGATTGAATAGCATCCCATCAAAATATGTAGGGGTGTTGGTGGTAGATGCAGGACTGGCTGAATGTACTGTAAATGCCCACCTGTCTGGGCATTATTTTCCTTTTTGTTGTGTTAATGAGGCATACAGGCACAGAGGGGGTCCCAAACCTAATTGGTTCTGATTTATAAATAAAAATAGACAGGGACATATATAGAGGGAAGACAAATGCCTAGCAATGTCACTGCCCCCTCCCCAGCTAATGCCATTCTTTGTACTTCCTGCCTCTAAGATTGTGATTGTGAGAAAACAAATTCCTGTCCTTTAGGGACCCCCACTTGTGGTATATTTTGCTATGGAAGTACTAGGTGACCAAGACACCAACTTCATAAGCGTTGAGTGTATGCATTTTATAGGGCTGAAGTAGAGGGGATTTAAAAAATGTTTACTTTTTATTGCGATCAAACCCATCTGGGCTTTATCCAGGGCAAATGCTACCTTTTTGATCTCCTATGGCTGGTTGTTCTAAGCAGTGTGTACCTTCCAGGTCTGTCAACTGCTGGGCTGACCGCTCTCAGTCACAAGCTCAGTCTCAGATGTGAATACGTCTAAGGGCTGTAATCTAGGGGTGTTCAGTCTGTAGGAGACCAGTAAGCCTGGTCTTTTTAACGGGTATTTTCTGTTTTCAATACCACTTTAAGCAGGATTTCCTTTGGGGAGTCCTCTAAGAACCACTAGTTCTTCTGCGCTGTGCCATGGAGGTGGGAGCTCCCAAGGTCAAGCTTTTTGACTAATTATTTGCATGTGTCTTTGATTTCATTTGCTTTTAAAAATTATTTTTAAAAGATCATTTTATCGGGGGCTCTTACAACTCTTACTAACAATCCATACATCAATTGTATCAGGCATATTTGTACATAGGCTGTCATCGTTCTTTTCTAGACATTTACTTTCTATTGAGCCCTTGGGATCAGCTCCTCTTTTCTCCCCTCCCCGCTTTGTGGCCCCTTGATAGATTATAAATTGTTATTATTTTCATACCTCACACCAACTGCTTTCTCCTTTCCCCTTAGGTTTCTATTGTTCTTCCCCCTGGAGGGGTGTGTGTGGTTATGTGCCATTCATTGAGATTGGTACCCCCTTCCTCCCCTCCTGTTCCCCCCACCACTCCCCCCTACCTTTCTGGTATCACTAGTCCCATTCCTGTTCATGGATTCTGTGTGTTGTGAGCTTTATCACTTGTCTGTACCTGGGTACATGTTCCGGTCTGGTCCAAAGTGAGAAGCAGCACTGGGGTCTTAAACTGGCGGTGAGAAGGCCTCAAGGAACCAGAGGAATATTGTGTGGTCCATCGGTGCTCTACTGCACCCTGATTGACTCATCCCTTCCCTGTGACCCCTCTGTGGGGGGAATGTTCCATTGTCTACAGCTGGGCTCTCAGGTCCACTCCAACCCCCCCTTGTTCTCAACAACATGTGTTTGTTATGAAACTTCTAATGCCTGTTACCTGATCCTTTGCTTTTAACAGGGAGAGACCAATAGGTGCATCTTTACTGGGAGCTCAGCAGCTTTTAAAAACTCAGTTGCTTACTCATCAAAGTAGAATGTAGAATACAGTCTTGCTGGCCTGTTATTGACCTTATTGGACTCCTTGGGAGTCCTGAGCCCTCAGGCCCAGCAATTCATTTACTCAAGGGGTTTGGTTCAGGCAGCAGCACCCTTGCGTCCCAAGGACTTGACATAGCATGCTCACAGTACAGGCTTATCCTTTCTGGCCTTCGAGAACCCTGTTCCGTGGAGAATGGTAGCAGACTACCACACAAACAGTGTATGACCAAGGGTGCTTGTTGTTTGATCTCTGGCTACAGTTTGGTTCTAATTCTACATTCATTCTCAATCTAGGGCAATGCTTCTCATGCTGCTTGTAGCAGAGTTTCAACAAGGCCAAGGTTTCAAATCTAATCTTCACTGAGATTATGAAACTTTTATGTCTATGGTTGACTGTTATCTTCCAAGTTCCTGTTTACAACATGGAGATAGGCAAAAGTTGGCAAGTGGGCTAATGCTAACTCTTGCTGAAAAAAGCAAATCAACAACTTTATCTATGTGCCTTCCCAAAGGCAACACACTGTTACTTTTACACTGTGCTTACATTAGTGGAACGGAAGCTGGGATAATTACTGCAACAGTTAGCTGATTATGTGTGCACCTCCCCCACTTGCTTATCAGTTGTGCAGGACAGGGACACACTCTAATTTTCATCTTCGTACACCTCAGTGTCAAGCATGGTTCCAGTCACAGTACAGTACACACACTAAGTCCTTGCTTAACTGTTGCTATTTATAGTAATGCCAGATGTTAGTGAGAAGCAAGGGAAGGTCAACTGTAATTGAGATTCTAAGAGAGCTGAAAACAAAATCCTCCCCTGCCCCCCGCCCCAAGTTCTCAAGTCACTATTAGCACAGCTTTCTGAAAGAGCAGTTAAGAAGCAGGAAGATGTATTTCCCCCCTCCTCCCAACATGTTTTCTCTTCTATTATACCTTCCAGAAGAACTGAACCTGGATGCTTGTGATTCCAATGTGCCATCACTAAAGTCAACTCTTTTGGGGTAAACCGACTGAATTTTCATAATTCTGAACTAATTTTAGCAGCTGCACCCACTTTAAAAGGCAGATTTAGAAGAGCAAATATCTGTTACTGCCAAGTGAGATAGTGCCAGTAGCTCTTTCTGAATCTCGATGGAAAAAAGACTTAAGATCTGCCTTGAAGAGAACATCATGAAATCTTAAACCGACACTCAAAGGCTAATGACTCGTAACATCCCAATGAACTCTCCCTGGGCTGCAATAACAAGTTACGCAATACAACTGCCACCACAACTAAGCAGAAGAGCAGCTTCGGAATGACAACCGCCAACTCTCGCAAGTCCTCTCCCTCCTGTCCCACTGCCACGTGCGATGTGATTCCTCCAGGATCAAATATGAACTTCTCCTCAAGGGTTTGATGGAGCAACGTTACGAGCCTAAAGCAATTCTCTTCCAATTGTACTTGGGAAGAGTTCTGCTTACGTCTAAGCAAAACCACCCTAAGGGAACAATGAAGAGAAACGGCTTCCAAGTGGTCTGAAAAACACGAAACAATGCAACACAAAAGCTCAAATGCTCGACACAGCTCAAAGAGCATCTCCGTTTCTGCGGCCACGTGGAAGGGACCGGGGCAAAAACGCAGCAGCACAGATAGCGCTCTCGGAGTGATGGACACAACAGCAAATCCACGGTGTCTGGCTGCATCTCCCTGGCCCGGGCACCTGGTGAAGCACACCGGCACGGCTTCGCTAGACGCCGGGGTGAAGGCGGAATCACCAACCAGGTGCAAAGCAGGTCAGATGACGCTAGCTCCAGTCCTTGGGTTCTTCCGAGGGTGGTGCCTTACTGCAAAGTCCATAGTAGCAGCTGCTGCTCAAAAACAGGCCCATTTTACCGAGGAGACCCTGACTGGCCATCGCGCATGGAGTTAAGATTCTGTGAGAAGCGGGGCACGGGGCTGGAGTAAGGGGATGTGAGTCTTCTTTGTGTGTCTCTGAAGACGGTGTCCTGAGTTTGGTCTAGAAGCTTCAGGTCCTGCGAAGCACGCTGAGCCCACACATCTCCAGTCCTGCTAGCGCCAAAAGCTCTGCTTACGGCTGGTTTTGACTGACTGTTTTAGAAGAGCTTTGTACCTCTGTAACTACACTTAATTCGACTTTATTAATCTCAGGGCTCTTAGTCCTCCTCTCCCTCCAAATGCGGTCAAGGGAAAAGAAGTGGCAGACCTGGGAGCCCTTCCTCTTGTACTGCTGTCAAAGAAAACGGCAGTAGGGGGCAGGAGACCAGCTGCTGCGGGCATGACTGTGTACATGAGTGGGATTTTCAGTGAGCCCACCGATCAATTTTTTTCTTTAGAATCTTTCTTCGAACAATTTTGTTTTGTCTTGTTTCAGGATCAAGGCAAGTGTCTGTTTAGGATGGTACCCTTCTATAGCTACTTTTAAAGTTTCCTTGAGAAAAGCGTCCTTTGAGTGGAGAGCTCTGCAGATGACCAGTGCATTCGTTGGGGTGGACACGTGCTTGCTGTCCGTGTGGAGAGGACTCCTTGTCACTTCTCTCTGTGCACCGGTCGGCAGGCATGAAGACGAGAAGAGTAGGTTCGACATGGCCTCCGCCTGTCAGGATGGCTGTTGAAGGCCCAAGGGTGACTTTGTGAAGGGTTTTTCTACTTGTTCACCGTCTAAATCCACCATGGCGGGTTGCTGACGGGAATGGTTCACAAGGTAAGAAACCACCGGTGGTTTTGCCCCAAAGCTACCCGGTGGGGGTGGGTGAGGGGAGCGCGGTTCCTACCTTCAGGACGGAGGCTGTCACGAAGATGGATTCGCAGTCGAGGCGCACGTCCAGGCCGGCATTCAGTTTCTCTTTGAGCTCTCGGCAAGACTTGACATTGGCCGACTGTCTGAAGATGCCTTTGGTGAGGGGCCCTTTTTGGTTAAGAAAGCAAAGCATATCCTATGGGGAAAGCAGAGAAAAACAAAACAACAAAACAAAGCAGGATGGCACCTCACACACACAGGCTAGAGAGCACCCACTTGCCCTCCGGCTGCCAGAGGCCCTCGAGGGCACACATGGGCAGGCTGGAGCTGGGTGCTGCTGGGAGGGCTAAAGGCAACTTGTTTTTTGGGGGTGTGGGGTAGTATTTCTCAATCTCTTTCCTTGCATTTATTCTTGCTGTAATCAGCTATGAAAACATTGTGCCTTAAATATATGTTTTATAAAGATGCTCCTTCGTATAATGAACCACCAGCCACGTTAGAATCACATTTCTCTTGACTGCTGTAAGATCCCTGCTAAAGGGCCGGGTCTGTCTCCTACCTCGCCGCTCCTTTGTCGTTGCTCACTAATAGAGATTCATTCGACCCAGTACAGAAACATTCTCGAAGTATTCATTCTCTGCTTGTCCTTCCCTTTTTACTACACGATTTCATCCTGTGTTTCCACACCCTACATTTGCTTTAGAGGCGCCCTGGTGATGTAGTGGTTACTTGGAGTTGCTAACTATAAGGCGGGGCAGTTCGAAACCACCAGGGGTCCTGCTGGAGAAAGATGGGGCTTTCTACTCCTGAGAAGAGTTAACAGTCTTGGAAACTCACAAGGGGCAGTTCTGTCGTGTCCTATGGGGCCGGATCAATTCAAAAACAATGAATTTGGTTTTGTTGATACTTGCTTTAAAAAAAAATTAGTCTAAAAGTCGTGCTCTCCCGGAGGCTTCTTTCTCCAGTGCCTTCGGATCTACCATCCATTCTGCTTGTTTTCCATCTCTATGGCTTCTGCCTGTAGCGTAGGAAGAGTAATCCACAGGACCCGAAGCCCAGCTGTGCCACGTGTTCATTGTGTGGCAGACACTCCGAGGCTACACTTGTCCACTCTGGATGATCCTAACATCTAACCCTAAAAAAGACCAGCAGTAAAGGGGCTAGGCTCGTATCTGCACTTAGAGGTGCAGAATGGAGCATCAACTGCTGTACGTTTAGTATAGTGCTCGAAGGGCACTGGAGGCTCCATAGATGCAGTCTGACAATGACCACGTCATGTGCCAACTGGAAACACTACAAAGCCACATCACTTTCCTCTGACCCACTCTCAGGACACGTTCTGAAAATGCCAGGGGATGTGTCTTTATGGGACACAAATAACGCACGGCTAAGTTTGGGTAGCATTCGTCACGAATGTAATTAACGGAGACTTTCAGAGGCATGTAGAGGCCAAAAGAGAATCGGAGAGAAACGTGAGGGACAATTATGCATCCTTCCCTGAGAGACAATTCTAATTTATCTGAGCAGGCTCATGCGGCTCTTTCCTGAAACCGTTGGCTGTACTATCTTGTGACTAGATTGTCCTAGGGTTCTGCAATAGCTCAATCACATGTTATTCTTTCAAGTAAGGATTCTCACCCACAGCCAAGGGATGTCTATAATTTTCCCCTTTGGGCCCACATGCCCCCTCACCCCCTCCTCATTTCCAAGCGTCCTTCTCTATTAGTGTCTGTTACAAACCAATGTCAGACTCACCAGGACGGGTTTGGGCAGGTTGCCATTCTCACAAATAGTTGGCAGGGAAACACCGAAGAGCTGGCCTGGCATAGGGGCTGTTGGTGACATGGGCAAGTGATCCAGGTGAGTGCTAGAGCCCCGCCAGAAGGCCCAGTTTATGATCGATCTCCTCCTTTTAAATGTCTTTTGACCTGAGTCTGTGGGAAGAAGGGAGATCATTAGAAGGTCTGAAGTCACTTGACTTTCTTTCTACCATTTCCATTTTACAGTAAACATGCTACTAGGCCGCACAGAGAAGACAATTCAACCTCTGACATCTTATTCCCATATTTTACCAGCTAAGGGAGAACAGCAAACGAAAGACTCATCGAGCGTTTAGCTTCTTTCCTCACCTGCTTTTCAGACAGCGCTGCTCTGTTTGCTCGTGTTTGGGCTCTGACTTTTCTAAGGTCGAAAGGAAGTGCTCTTTTCTGAACTGTAACAGTGGACCCGGCCAAACATACACAAAACAAACAGGCAAACAAATGCCTGTGTATTGTCAAGATGAGATGAGGCCCACAAAAATGCTGAACTTGCATAGATTAAAGAGAGAGAGAAGAGAGAGCGAAACAGTAACGACATAAGAAAAAAAATGGGAGGAGAATGAGGAAGACGAGGAGGAAGACAACGGAGAGGGGAAAATGAGGAGAAAGAACAAAACCAACCCCTCCAAAGTCTCAGGAAGCTGTCCTTGCGAGTGGGGCACATCCTGACGCACCAAGCCCTGAGTACGGATGATGCTCAGAGCAGCCAATGCACAAAGAGAGGACTAGAGGGCCGGCCCCACTAAGAGACATGATGTCCCTCACTGACCCACAGCACTATGGGGGGCAGCACTGGAGACACAGTACGGGAATTGTGCCCTGTCTGATCCCACAACACCGAGGGTGTGCAACAGAACAGCAAGGGGAACAGAGCAACAAAGTCCTCAGGAAACACCAAAAATAGATTTTGGGGCCAGGGCGCGGCACCCCATCAGACTCAACCATAAAATACTCCTAAAGCTCAACAAACAGACCTTGAACTAGTTATGGGCTTTTCTTTCTGGTCGTTTTTTGTTGTTGTTTTGTTGCTTTGTTTTGCTCTGTCTTGTTTTTCTGCATATTATTTTATCTGCAAGTCTATCTAGATAAGATAGGCTGGATAAACAATCTGG